TTTTAGTTTTCCATGTAATACAGATCACTTGTCTCTTTATTGCTAATAGTAATAGAAGGGTTGCTGGAAGTTATCTTTAAGAACAGGGATAACAAACATCAAATCTATTTGGACTACATGATGCGAGCACTGATGCTTACCCTTTAAAACAGAACTCAAACTTCATAAAAAGAGAAAGGTTAATAGCAAAAGCATTATGATTTAAAATGTGGAACTGGACAGGAATAGCAGTCTATACTCAGGAGCCATAGTAATCTTTCATAATGGAGGTCAATGAATGCAGAGTCAGAGTAGCAACTACAAGAAATTCCCAATGTTATCATTGAACTTGTATTCCTTCTTGAATTTCAATTTTAAACTTTTCAACATTTATTTATTATTACAGAGCCTGACCCAGCCATATAAGCAATTGAATTCAACAACAGAAGTCCTTTCACTGATTAGGGGATTTTGGTCTGTCTGAAATAAAAATCCCAACAATACCATATCACAGAAATTATATTCTCTCTGAACTCAGATTTTCATGACATGGTTATACACATCAAAACCCAGTGAGATGTAAGAATACAGCATAAACAAATCAGTCTTTTTCCTATAGGAAAAGAGCTGTCCTATCACATTTGCCTAAATTAGGAAGGAGAGTGGACTGTAAGGTGGTATCTGAGCACACCATAGTTTAAAACCAAAACTAGTTTGTGTTTTTTTCTTCTTCATTGATGAACTGTTGAATATGAACCCCGAGAAGAGGTAAAATGCACAGCAACAATCCCTTCTTGCTGCAATACAAAAACGTGTTCAGGCTAAGAGTATTACTTACTCACATAATGAATATTGACGATGTCAAAAAACCAACATTGCAGCCATAAAAAGCCTACTGATTTCTTTATCATAATCAAATGTTGTAGAACACTAACAAAAAAAAATAAATGTATTTAGAAACCTTTCAAACACTTTTTTTTTCTTTCATGTAAGAACATGTTTATTGAGTTTCTTTTTTTTAGATTTTGGCTGAAAAAAAAAATCTCTGAATTTTAGTTCCCTCATCTAACAGAGAAAAATGCTTTTTTTTTTTTTTTATGTGTTATAAATATAGATGTCTGCTTCTGTTTTGTAAGACTATTTATAATGCAGGAATTGGCAGAAAGTCTGTCAAAACATGTACAACTCCTTTAGAAGAGAAGCAGACTATGAGTTGTGAAAGCCTGAATGAACTGGAGGCTGTATCAGAAAATGGCAGAGTAGGGGCTTTATCCTAAAGGAAGATCTTATCATAAGAAGTACCAAAATTATCTGGAAGACAGAGGATATGTGCTGGTCCCCCCACAAAAATATTAAAACCAAACTCAAGGACAAAGCCAACAACCCCCCACCCCCCCAAAAAACCAAAGCAACCTACACAAACAAACAAACAACCCCCCAAAAATCCAAGAAACCGCCCAAACCCAACAACTCAGAAATCATATGGATGGCAGCAAAATGTCAATTAAATATCTGAGACCAAAGAAACTGGGAAAACACAACCTTCAGACACTAACTTTCAGCATCTAAGGTAGCAGCAGCAGTAAGCAGGGGACTATGATAACGTGAATTGTTTCTAAAGCCAGCAAAAGAGGACCTTTTTAGACTGGCAGAATTAATTATGGTGAGGTGTAGATACACCTACCACAGAAGTGCATCTCTCCGAGGTAAGAAACCACTACAAAACATCACTCCCTTGATTGCTTTTGATGTTAATGTTTTAATCAGACAAAAGCCCAGAACACTTCCATTATGCAACAAGCTCCTCCATTCCAGGCAGGGTGGTTGTATGGCTACAAGGTACAAAAATCCAGTTTTGGGAGAGATGTGCCGTTCTTTGTAACAAGTCAAATACTAAATGAAGTAAGAGAAATGTGACAAAATGTAAGCAGAGAACTATAATTTATGAGACTTTATTGTGTTTAGAAATCAATTTTCTCTATTCTAAAGCAGGTGGAATGCTGACACTGGAAAACCTATGCACCACGTGGTGCCTTATCTCACCATTAAAGGATGAGTGATGTAAACCAAGCACTGCTTAACCTTCTACTTCATGATCCATATTTCTTGCAGAAGCATGCAGAGGGGCAGCATGTCTGCTAGCTGTCTGCTTCTTCCATATAAAACCCAGAAGCAATATTCCTCAGTAGCCTTTAAGAACAAGCAGTGAATTTGTCGTATCTGTTTGTAAGGCCCTTTGGGACTCTTCAGGAAGAAAGGCACAGTAAATGTAAGCTCATTATCATCATTAACTCCTTTTATACACCAGCTGAGCTCAGAAGGAACAAATAGGAGAAAAATGAGGGGAAAAAAATCGTTAATTATATTTATGATTATTTTCTGTTCCTGGTAGGGTTTGTTGTAGGTTTTTTTCGTGTTTTGGTGGGGTTTTTTTTTGGGGGGGGTGGTTTTTTTTTTGTGCGTGTGTGTGTGTTTTGGGGTTTTTTTGCTTGGTTTGGGTTTTTTGTGTTTTTTTTTTAATTTTTTTTTTTTTTAATTCATAGATACCTTTATAACATAAAACTTACTACTTATTAGGAAGTCTTAAAATTATCTTGATCACTTAACTCCATGAGATGACACTTATATTGCTAAGGAAGAAAAAGAATAAAATGCCTTGACTTACATTAAAGGACATTCAACACAGTACCCAATTTATTATATTTGTTCTCATAAGCTTAGAAGTTCCTTAAGGTTCTGACAATCACACCTCACCTATATGTGTATGGAGAAGGGAAAGGTAAAGCTTTCTATTTGTTCTGTTTGTGTTTTCTGGGTAACACCTAGATTTGGATAGGAGCGGACTCACTGGTTTTAGCCATTGAAAGTTCACATTTTTCGTTCAAAATAATTTTCTAAGCTCCTGCTAGGGTAGGTGTGTGTGAGCAGCACCTCCAGACACTAATTTCTACCCCACACACTGGACATGAGCATCACATAAATGATCTCAGGAAGGAACTTTTTCCTCTCCATTGACATCAAGGCCAACCTAGCGAGTACCTTGAGGCAGACTATACCTTTCCACCAGGTAGGTGAATCTGTACAACTGTGTTTTTACACATAAACAGAATGAAAGGATCCTTTTTACACTACAGATTAGTTCAACCCCATTGAGGAAAAGTGGCACTAATCTCTGTGATTGCAGCTGATACATTGGTTTTATGTGTGTGATGTGTATTTGTATTGTTATCACTGTAGATTTATGTGGTTTTCTTTGTTGATCATTAACACACAAAAAAAAAAAAAAAAAAAAAAAGATGGTGCCCCAACTTACAAACACATCCCTTGGGATCTTAAGACTTTAGAAACTGGCCTGCAAGAAAAAGATTTACAGAACTATTAGATCCACAGTCCTGACTTCAGTCCCTAAACTGGGGAGCTGTGGCAGCTGTCACTAAATTTCTGATCTCTACATCAAACGGGTTGCGTTTGAGTGGGACAAAGAATGCTTCTCCAACTGCTTTATGGGAAAAGTTTAAAACTTTTAAACCTGTTGGGAATAAGCTACACTAAAACTCTTAGAAATGGAAACAAGGGTGATGGAGACTCTTTAAGGCTATGTGGAGTGAAATTATTTATTGTATCCAAGTTTGGCAAGCTGAGAAGTCACCTGAATTAAATAAAAGCAGAGAAACAAGGAGAAAGTTTATACGACTACAAAGCCACGACCATACACAAACGTTAAAATCAGCAAAGAAACGCAGACCTGTCTCTCCAGGTCTACGAATGTTCTCCACTCGAAAATTCGCGGAGGCACTTCTCACGCTGTTCAAGTGCAGGGCTGATGTTCTGACCCCCATCTCCTCAAGGGCACCACTCCGCTTGCTGCACGCTGCGCTCTCACACGGGAGAGTCCCTTTCCCCAGACCACGCTCTCTGTACCGCAGCGAGGTGCGCTCAGAGGCTGCTCCCATCGCGTCCCACCCCCTGCTCCCACCGCCAGCGGTCCCTGCTGGGGTGCGAGGTTCCCCCGTCCCGGGGGCCAGACCCCGAGACCGGGGCGCCGGCAGCAGCGTGCAGAGCGCCTGAAGGTGAAGAAACGCCCGAGCACTGCGGGCCCCGCTCTACGAGGGCGCCGGCAGCGGAGCAGCGGGTTCTGCCAGCGCATCCCCGCACGGGCAGGCTGCTGGCGGCGGCCGCGGAGCGCCGGCTGAGCTCTCCCGCATCGCCGTGCGGGAGGCGCCTCAGCCCCAGCACCGGACCCATCGCCCCCACCGGGCCGCCGGGCGGCGCCTGCGCACTACGTGCGGCAGCGCTTCTCGCCCGCCTCCCCGGCGCGCCCCCGGCAGCCGCGGTGGGGCCGGGCTGAGCCGCACCGCTCAGGGCTGAGCGGGGCCCGAGCCGCGGGGAGCGGGAGCAGGCGGAGAGTCCGCCCCACGCCACCCCCTGCCGCCCCGCTCCTGCGGGATCCCGCACGGCTCTGGAGGCAGGAACAGCCCCGAGGGGTCTGTCATGCGGCTGCGTCCGCCCGGCGCTCAACAACAACTTTGCTGGTCCGGTCCGGCCGTTGTCATCGGTCTCCGGCGCGGTGCGGGCGCTCTGACGGCGCGGTGATAACCCCGGCAAGAGTTTCGCAAAGCTCTTAAACACCTTAAGCTGCGCGCAGCAACCTGTGTTCGCTGAGGTTGCAGGGGAGGAGGAAATAGTGTTTGCGATCACCCGAGGAGGGGAGGTGTTTTCCACAAGGGACCTTTCCTCACCAATAGAGCCACCAACTGTCCGCAGCGGAGGCAGGATGTAAAGAGGCAGCACGAGGCCGGTGCGGCTGCTGGCGAGGAGGCAGCGGTCCCGGGAAAGGGCGGAGCGCCGGAGGGGGGTCCTCCCGGCGCTGCACTTGCTACATTAACTCGGCGCGTCGGAGACAGCGACACAACTTTCCGGGTCTGCCCCGGCAGGCGGCAAGAAGAGGTTCCCCGCTGCTCCGATCACAGCAGCTCCAGCGCCTGCCACTTGCAGAGGCGGACACCGGCGGCAGCGGCGTCGCGGCTGCCCCGGCCCCAGGGAGGCGGGCTGTCCCCGGGACCCGGGCGGGCATGGCTCCCGCTCCCAGCCCTGCCGAGCGGGGCGGCCACCGGCTCTAAAGGGAAGCGTACGAGCGCCCCGCCTCGCGGCTATGCAGCCCCTCCGCGCTCCCCTCGCCCTGCTCTGCCAGGTGCTGGCTGCCTGGGCTGCCTGCGCCCTGGCCCCCGCTGCGGCCGTCGGGCTGCCCGTGTCTCCGCAGCGCGCCCACTCGCCACTAGCCCCGACGCCCCTCTCTGCGGGCCGGCGGGCGGCCGCGGATGTCCCCGTGCCCGGCGGAGCAGCGGGGGCGGCCGGCAGTGGCGCGCCCCGCGGGGCGGAGGGGGCCGGGCGGCGGCGGGCGCGGAGCAGCGACCGCGGAGCCGACGCGGCGGCAGGGAGGGGAGCGGCGGGCGGCCCCCGCTGGCTGCCCCTGAACGCCTCGGCGGGGGGCGAGGGAAGCGCCGGGGGCCGCGGCAACGCCACGGGGCGCCGCACCCGTCTCCGCAACCCCTTCTACCCGCTAACCGAGGAGTCGTACGGCGCCTACGCCGTCATGTGCCTCTCCGTGGTGATCTTCGGCATCGGCATCATGGGCAACATGGCAGTAATGTGCATCGTCTGCCACAACTACTACATGCGGAGCATCTCCAACTCCCTGCTGGCCAACCTGGCCTTCTGGGACTTCCTCATCGTCTTCTTCTGCCTGCCGCTGGTCATCTTCCAGGAGCTCACCAAGAAGTGGCTCCTCGAAGACTTCTCCTGCAAAATCGTCCCGTACATCGAGGTAATAGTGGTGGGTGGGCATGGCTCTAGAGGACGCGGCCCCGAGCACCTTTCCCTCCACGAGCACTGCTCCCCGGCGCTTCTCCGCCGGCCTTCGCTGCCTGTGGGTGCCCCCCCCCTTATCGCTGCCAGCCTGGGAGTGTCCAAGACGAGCTTGGTCTGGGCTTCCCGGGCATCCCCGACGCCCCGATTGGACCGGAGGCGGCCGTGGCCACGACAGGTCCGTAGCACCGGGGGATTTCTATAACCTCAGACTGAGCGCGGCTGGCTCTGCCTTCCACTCGCGCGAGTTCTGCCAAACTTTCCTTCCTCTTTGTGATCCTGAAAGGCGAAAATCCTCTCAGAATGAGCTTTCAAGATTTTTTAGGTTTTTTTCTTCTGTTTCCCTAAGGTGAAGTGAGTCAGTAAAGCGGATGGAGGGCGTGACTGGGGACAGCTTGTAAGGTACTTGTAGACAGGACCAGCAATAGGATGTATATGCTCTTAAGTTGTACTTAAACGTTCAAATCTTACAGTTATTTATTTAGCTTATTTTAAATAATAATAATAAAAAAAGACCCCAGCACGATTTAATGGCAGCTTCTTGGCAGTTGTTCAGAAGCTCTGTCAGAGAAATCTCTCAGCCAGCTGGCCAGAGTCCTGCCGGCAGCATTCAGGTTGTCCACCTTATTTGCAGGGTGGTAGGCCGTAATTCTGGCTGGCTCTGCTGTATTCCCAAAACCTTATGTTCAATATTATTTAGTAACTGAAAGCTGAGGAAATAACTGTTGATTCTTCTGTTCCAAGAATGAGATATAAGGGGAAAAAACAAACAAAATCCACCCCCCAAAACAAGCCCCAGTTTATTATTAGTACAGAATATCAGTTTCAACAACACATTGGTACACAGTAATATGTAATTAACTGTCCACTGATACTTTTTAGAGTTTAGAAAGATGTGTGATGTGTAGCCACTAAGTTGTCATTACTTCTTTCATACGTGATGTGCTTTATTACTGGTGGTATCGATCAAAGGGTGGAGCTGTGCTACGCTTAGATGTATGCAAGGCCAGTAATATAACATTACATTTGAAAAAACTCAGAGTCCACTTTATCTATTTGCCTTTAAGAAGACATGAAGTAGTAAGTATGTGTTTGTTGAGAAACACGTAGTACTGGGAGCTTTTAAAATTTCTGAATTTAGTCCTCGCTACTGTTTTAACCAATAAAGTAAGTAACACTGTTTCAAGTTACAGTGTAACCATTTCAATTAAAGTAGGTAATGTAGATTAAGCCTTCTGAGGACTTCCCTACAGTGACACTTCACACTTCCCAACGTGGTTTTGGCGCATTCACATACAGAATAAAAGTAATTCTTTGGATGCTGATTCTAACTAAAGATCAGTAATTGATATTATGTGCATGGCCATGCTGCTCTTCAGAATTAGTTGCGTATGCTGTGCAGCTTTGGGCACTAAAGGCTTTGTCAAACTGAAAGTGGTTTTGGTGAAATGGAGTTTCCAAAGCTGTAATCTGAAAAACATTCAGCTGCTGCTATCCCCCCCTTTATACATCAATGACACCTTATTTTTTCTGTAGATATTTAATGTTGAAGCATCATTCAAGAACTGGCACCGATTCAGTCATGATGGACCAGTGGCATGGTCTTAGGGTTAATTATTACTGGGGTGTAAAAGTGAAAAATTATACTTGTTCCTGAGGAAATGAAATTAATTTATATGTAAGGTACAGGTCTAAAAAGTTGCAGCCTTGGGGGTTCTGTATTGCTCCCAGAGTTGTATATTTTTCATTCGGTAGTCATTAAATATAATACTCAAGTATGTAAAGTATATTCATCACCCCAGGAGCAGTAGGTAAAAGGCCAGATTTCCCTTCTAAGTTGTAGCCATGAGTGGCAGATACTGAGCACCAGTGCTGGTTTGCAAACCTCCACATCTTGCCTCGAGCTTGGAAAGAAGGGCACGGTCCTGCAAATTAGGATTTGACCCTGCTGAGATGGCGAAGGCTGGTAGAGCAAAGGTTCATCATCACATTCCTAGTGATGTTCTAACCTCACAGGCATTACACAGTGACAGTGACACCACCAGCAGCGATGCAGCTGCAGAACATGTAAGGAAATCTGCCCTGCAAGCAGCTACTGCTCCGTGCTCTGTCAGGGATTGTTCACAGCAGCACGCTCACCTGGCAGCTGAGCAACTCTGTCTTCTCCCTTGTTATAACTCACCTGGGCAGGATCAGCCCCTTTTCACACAGTGGGAGGAGGATGAAGTCCTCTTTGTGCCTTGAGAGTTAAGCTGTAGAGTTAACCTCTTTAGGAGAGGTTTCTAGACTTTTGTGGAATAGAGACAGAATATGGACAAATTTTAAGCTGTTATCTGTGTTTTCTGTAAGTTAGCCCAGTGTTTTGTTAAGTGTCTTTTTGTTCCATGCTTTGTATCTCTTTTTATGCATGCCACTTCTCCTCTCCCTGCGCCGTGTCTAAGGAGCTGTGTCAAACCCAGAGTTGTGGATCCAGAACCCTCTCCCTTTTAAACATCAAAGACCATTACTGGCCTGAGCACTCTGTCATTACAGTTTGTACTTTCACAACTGGGAACAGAGGATGTCTGATCATCCAGAGCAAGTGATACGCTGATCACAGCATTTTAACATTACTCAAGAATGTTTTGTACTGTGTTTAAAGGTTTCAAGTGATCTCAGTGAGAAACCTGAGTTTTCTTAGTTTAGCCTCATGTGGCCAATTTATGCCAATTTCAACAAAGCATCTGTTGCCAGTGATAAAACATACATATATGGTCTGGGAAAAATGTTTTATGATATCTTCAAGCACATTCGTATAGGTAAATGTTGAGCTTCCAGCAGTAGAATGTCTTCCCAGTACTTAATTCAAAGGGCAGTTTTCCCATACCTGGTAAAGATCTGCTATGACCAAGCACATTAAGAAGTCATTTCAGCTGTGTATTATATCACAGTTTGGCCACTTCAAACTGCATTTTAAAACTATACCATGCCTGTGCTTGCATAAGGAATGCTGTGCACATGACTGAGGAAGAAACTGAGTAAATTAATTTTTCTGTGCTTCTCATGAGATCTTCAGATGATAAGGGTAAACTGGTAGAGAACGAAACTAAGAAAACACATGGTTAGTAGAAGTAGATGAAGTTATGTCCATCAGGGACTTCACTTGACCCTGATGTTGACACTGTCTTGGAGGGGCAGTTTTAAATGCACTGAGTGGGAGCGAGAAGGGAATTAGAACAACGGGGGCAGCTACTCATCCCATAAGGATGTGTGGAGATGTGCTTCTCCTTTGCAGTTTCAATTCTCTGCTCAATAGTCCTTAACCGTTTGCCACTTTTTTGCAGGTGGTTGAGCCACCTAGTTTTAGGCATGGGTTTACTTGCATACTGCGTTGATGTCTTCAGTACACTTTGCTCAGTGTTTTTCAGACTCAGGAGATATAGGGTAATTGATAATACGAAGACAATGGCTTTGGCTAATTCCTGTTCCAGAAGCCCTCCCAATGTGGAACCCTTTTCTTTTTGTTTGAGCATATCCAATCTTTCCAATAAAAGAGTGGGGGGTGGATAAAGGGGAATAGAAAAAAAAACCACAACAGTACAGAACAACATAGTTTCAGTTCCCCTGCTTAGAGATTTGTGCTGCACCTTAGTAGAAAGAAGTATACATGTAGACAAAATCTGTAGTTTTTCACAGTTGTTAAATACAGCAGTCCTGTGAAGTAGCATTTTTATTTTCTATTTCAATGCTAGAAGCTAGTAGTGAAGGGGTTAAGTAGGTTTAAGTAGGTTGTTCAAGACCCAGAGCAGCTTGCTCAAGGTGACAAATGGGTTGTGTCAACTAGGACTAGAAACGGTCTTTTGGGCTTTAAAAGGAATCTTGCTTGAGTTGTGTGCATTCTGCTTTTAGAGGTTACACTAGAAGCTTGATGAGTTTGAGAGGGGTCGATGAAAGTAGGCATCACTTTCTATGCTGGCAGATTGAGACAAGCTACTTGTAGTGGAGTAAGAATTTAGAATTGGTGAATGGTTTAGAATGAGGGTTTGCAGAGGCTGATTTACCATTCTGTATAGTCCAGCAAAGAGCAACAAATTTCTCAAGACCAGTGATGGTACTCAGCCCTGCACTGGTGCTAATAAATATGAGCGCATCTTCCTTTTTCACACCCCTCACAAGGAAGAGAAAGACAAAGTTTGTGGTGTCCTCATATGGACCTTGTCATGCATAAGGGACTGGCTTGACTCTGGAGCTGACTCTTGAAAGCCTCTGAAATCTGATGCCCAGTCTCTGCATGCACTTCTGGCAATCAACCTGTGACATCACTTCTTTTTCTGGTGGGTAACTTCCAGCTCAGGAAAGCCATCACAATTAGTATTCTTAGTGGAAAGCAAAAGGATTGATTTGGCCTGGGATACGAATTACTCTCTTTTCCTGGAGCTGAAGCTCCAGGGCAATTTGAGAGGAGGCGGCTTTTTCCTCTTTTTTCCTTGGTAGAGGCAAGTGAGAAGCCATTCTCTGCCTGGTCCAAAGCTGTCAGAGGAGATCCTTATTTTAAGTTTCACTTTAGGGAAGCAAATACATTTTTTATGGGAGTTTATAAAAGCTGCATATTATCTATCTTTTCTGTCTTTTGTTGTGCAGTATCCTCTTTATGTCTCTTCTTTGACTTTAGTCAGAGCTAGGCTCCTGAGCCTCCAGTAAGTCCTCTGGATTGTAGATGAGATCCTTAGAGGGGTAGGCAGCTTCAAAGCTTCATACTGGGAGTTTTGTAGGGCAGTGGCTGCATGTGTCTGTTACTAAGCAGAATATCTTCAGCACTTATTGGGGAGTAAATAATTATTTAAAACATGAGTGTTAATATACCTCTGTCCCTTAGGTATTAATGGCTTGGTGACAGTTGCTGCCATGTTGGTGCTTCTATCAATCTTCTTTTCCTGTCCAAACCCAGATCTTAGGGACTTATAAGTTGTCCATAAAAAT